GTGTGTGTGTGTGTGTGTGTGTGTGTGTGTGTGTGTGTGTGTGTGTGTGTGTGTGTGAGCTTGGAGGGACATGCAGTCTTTGGCAGGGTGTTTCCAGCCTGTCAGCCTGATCTGAGTGCACGCTGCCAGCTGCTCTCCTATAGAGCGACAGACATACAGTAAATTAAGACCAGTGGATCTGTTGCAGTTTGCGGCAGGCGCTCAGATTGTTTTGATGCATGAGTGTGTGAGTGACGGCATTTATGGATCAAGCCTTACATGCAGCAGGGTAGGTCAATAAACGCTGTTTTGTGTTGTTTTGCGATGTATACATTGAGGTTAACCACGGCAGGACTACAGGATGTAGCTCAATACTATGGAGCTTTAATTGCTGTTAATAGAGTCAAATGTTTGTGTGAATGCAGCAGAGAGTAAACAACCAGAGCTTTAACCGTGCATGTGGTTCAACGTCCCCAACTCATGGTGAAGAGCAGCATGTAGGAAGCAACAAGTCCTCCAACTCATACGACCAAATAGGTCGATTGTTCAAGAGCTTATTACGACCTATAATCACGTTTTAAAATGTTCGACCTCTAGTGCTCCCGTTGAATGCAAACGGTACGGAGGGTCGTATATTATACAAATAACCAGTGGCGGCTGGTGGAAATTATTTTAGGTGGGGCTATTGTAATGGTGAATAAACCACACGGGGAACATTTTGAGAAATTACCCCTTAAATTAAATTGGCTACACTATTTCATCGTTGCTGTTGTATGATTGGTGTTTAGCTACGGTATTTAGCGTCTACAGCACCTCCGCTTTTAGGGTTGACAGAGACCCAAACGTCGCCCGGAGGTCCCCCGGTGTTGTTGCGGGAGCTGCTGCACTAGCTAACACTAAACTAGCTAACGCTCCACTAGCAAAACAAACGCTTATTTCTTTTGCAAATGGTGCAGCGGGCTTCAAACACGTTCCCCTCCACTGGTTTCAACCAAGCACTAAATTACATGTTTTCCAACCAAATACGGTTGAACTGACACTTCCCCATATTCATTTGTAAGTAGATTCGAAGATACATGAGTTTCTGACTCCCGCAAGCTGAAGCTTGGTTGCTAGGTTACTAGCTGGGTGTTCTCCAATAAGGGGCCGGGGGAAACAAAGTTAGTGATTACTGGTTCCATGTTGATTTCATTCAATACAAATTGTTGGGGGGAACTGAAAGGCTCTTACCGTACTGGTTACTTTGCAGCCCGGACATTTCCCCCAAAACACATTTAGACGCTATCGCAACACAGAAGTACCTTTCAAATCCCATCATATTTAAGACCTTCTAAATCATATTTAAGACCTTTCTTATTGTTTTGGTCATATTTAAGACCTTTTTAAGGCCTTAAATTTAGATTATCAAATTTAAGACTTTTTAAGACCCCGCGGGAACCCAGTGTGCTACAAAGTAACATAAACTGAATATACTCACGTAAAGTACGAATAACTCAACATTTTATTTAGGTATTGAACTTTGGTAAATGTGGTATTTGTGGTACTGTATGTGCTTTTGGCAGTTCACTAAAAGTCTCATAAACAGATACTGCTACAATAAAATGTTGTTCAGCAACTCCAAAAATCAGCCTATAGTATACGTTACAGTTTCATAGTCAACAAATACCTTCGTTACATGGATCACTATCAGAACGTAGCGCTATCAAAGCGCTACCTCTGTTTAAAATGTGGCAGCATTTGTGTGCTGCTACTGTTATCTGCCAACTAGCAGGACGTATTAGCAGGGTGTTTGTATATTTGCACAGCATAACCATCGTCATAGGTCAAGGCAACAGTAGTTAATAAATCCATAGATACTTTCTGTGGTGAGATTTGTGCTGTCTCTAAATGCAGATACTTTCCTTAGCTTAACAGAGGAATATTAACCCGCCATTGTTGAATCTCGTTCAACTGATCCAGCCCCCTGTAGCTCCTGCGCTGTGCGTTATTGTTGGTCATAAGGTGCATAGCATTTCTGTTACCAGCATTAATGCTTTTAGAAATATTTTAGGCTAGCAATGTTTCTGGTGACTTTACATGCTTACTGCCCTCAAAACAGGGAAACATGAAGAATGACTATACTCTGGAGAAGGACATTAGGCCTGCTGGAAAAGGCTCTTCTGTAAGTATAAAACAAACAGAGCCCTCCTGGCCTCTTCACATATTTCTTCCTTTGCCGGGGACCTTTTCCTCTACTATTGTTTCTCCTGCATCCTGTGTTTGTGTGGCAGATTTGTTTGATCCACCTTCTGAGACTTTTTAGCCAAAATATTGACAAAAGGTCCCCTCTCTTTCTGTCTGTCTCTCCCCACCATCTCTGTTTCTCTCTCTGTCTCTTCGTATCCATGACTCTGAAGACAGAAGATGGTTTCCGACGGAGAAATGAATCTTCAGCCTCCAGTCCAGAACATCCTGATGTTGACAACAGACAAAGAGCCCACCCCACCTTGTTTGGAAAATACAACCAAAGCATGCAGACCTTCAAGCCCTTCCGCTGGTCCTCTTCCCAGTCAGTGTTTTTGATTACATCATCCTGTTTTGATGCTCTTATATATCGTTTGATTCATTTTGCTAACCCTTTTATTCATGGCACCTACGTTTGACCAACTAGTAACCTCAGAGTTTAAAAAGTGAAGTGCCTTAAACCTGCAGTCTCTCTTAAATGAACCAATGGTCGAAAAAATAACGACGAAACGATTGTGTAGAAGTCTATGAGAAAATGACCGAACTTCTCACTTGATTTATTACCTCAATAAACATTTTCCTGTTGAGTTTATGGTCTTCATGACTATTTTCAAATCCTCTTTAATATAGATAGATAGATAGAGATAGAATCGGGAGGGATGAAACCCTCTTTAATGGTCACACATGCAGAGCACACAGCACACACAGTGAAATGTGTTCTCTGCATTTAACACATCCTAGTAGTAGGAGCAGTGGGCAGCTATTGCACTTAGTAAATTATGTTACCATTTAGAAGAAAACATACAGAAAAGCAGACTATGTTTCAGGGCGGGGCTACCTTGTGATTGAGAGTTCACTACCAGGGTATTTTCAGGTTGTTGTGCTCTCCTTGTTTTAATCTTATTACGGCAACCCTTTCTCTGTGTTTTCAGTTCATAAAAAATTCATTCTAACACGTTGGTCACCTTAAAATGTCTTTATTGTTTGGTAGTAATCAGCTCCACGCTTTTGTGACAATATGTCGGGTCAAAAATACTAAATGTCAGCAGTCAAAACTCTAGTCCACAGCCACTTATTTTATACAGTTGCCATTTATGCATGGTGTCTGCTAAAGTGGACAGATGAGTAACTCCTTCAAAATAAGGTATAAAAGAATTAAATTACATCATTGTTTACTTTCACCAAACAAATTACAGTATGATTTAATAATCCAATAGAGGATACACGGTACAAAATACAGTATTGGGCTAGTTCAGTTGGCCATGCAGTTCTACATATTTTAACCCATTTGCTCATGGATGGTGTTTCAATGTGCAGGTCCCACCCTATAGACAATGCAGGCTTCTTCTCCTTCACGACCTTCGTCTGGATGACCCCCATGATGTGGGCCTTGTTCAGGAATAAGCTGGATATGAGCTCTCTCAAGCTGTCTCCCTTGGATGTAGCCCACAGCAGCGGAGAAAGGTCAGACACTCTTCTTGCTGATTGGGGGTTGGGGGGAGGGAGACACTTCATGTAGATAGGATAACGTGTGAATATATATCAGATATCACCATTGTTTTGGATTACAAATTAAATATGATGTTTATATATGCAAATAATTCATTATCTGAGGAAATTTCAAGGCACAAATAGACAAAGTTTGTAGAATAAACACTCATTTGTGTCCAGAATGTTTTGGAATCAGAAAAGACCAAACCCCAAATTTGGTCAATGTTTTTGTCTGAAAGCTCTCTCCAAAATAACAGGAAACCTACACTACGTTGAGTGTTTCACAACTGTTTTAACTTGGTATAGAATCAACAAGGCTGATTGTTTGCATTGTGCTCAGGCTCCAGAGACTCTGGGAGGAAGAAGTGGCCAAGATGGGCCTGGAGAAGGCCTCTTTGATCCGAGTTGTCCTCCGCTTTCAAAGAACCAGGCTGATTATGTCTGTCACTGTCGGCATCCTTGCCATGATAGCAGCGTTTATTGGCCCGGTAATTTTCTTTACATTTTAAATATGAGCAGTACCAGTGCCTCCTCTATTAGCCATTGTCGCCTTCTTTGGAGTTTTCCCGAACATTACTCTAATTGTTAATGTGTTGGAAAGAAGCTCCGATCTTCTTCTTAAATATAAATACCAGTGAACACTGTAAAAAATACTCCACTAGAACTAAAGTCATTACAAACTTACCAAGTAAAAAGTCTGTGGATTGAGTATAATTCGTCAAATGTTGGCTTATTGAGCCTTAAAGATGATATAAAATGTGAAAAGTTTGGAAAGTGGTCATGCTAGCAACACAAAGACATCTTAAACATGAGAAGTATGGTGTGTCACACATGACAAACAATTTTAAGAAATCACTGGTTTAATCTTAAAAAGCTGAAAATAAAAAAGTAAGTCCAAATTCCTCTGACATTAAAGTTCAGAAAAACAAAAAGCTCAACAACAAAGTACCTCAAAAGTGTGCTTAATGCCTTAAACAGGTATTTACATATTTTGAAAAAAAAAATGTTCTTTTTGTTTTTCAACATTACACCATGACTACCTTTACTCCTCTGTAACCACACGCTTATTACACATTAATACACCCAGGTTACACTCATATTACAATGTTATTTGGCCCATATTACACCAATATTCCACCCATACTTCACCGCCATTTTACAGAATATCACACCCATGTTACTCATGGACACAGCCTGTGAAATGACTTTCCCTAGAATACGGAAACACATTAAGTACAGTTCTTGAGTCAATCTATTTTTTTTACCTTCCATAAAATATTCGATGAAGGCTGAGGTGCAGTGCTTAGAATTTAAAATGTCCAGCTAAAAGGCATTTTAAAGAGAAAGTTTGATTAAGAGGTACTTATCCACAGTCAGTGTATTACCTAGAATAGTTTCTTTTTCATGCTCTTATTCACTGTTAATTACCCTGTCTGTCCTCTCAGGCTGTCTTGATCTATGCGATCCTGAACTACACAGAGGCCCCAGAGAAACACCCAGTACTCTATGGGATTGGTCTTTGCTTCGCTCTGTTCACCTCAGAGTTCTTCAAAAGCTTCTTCATATCCACGCTGTGGGCCCTGAATTTGCGCACTGCAGTCAGACTGAAGGGGGCCTTCTCTACGTTAGCCTTTCAGAAAGTCATCTCTCTGCGGGGGCACAGCGGCATTTCAACGGGAGAGGTAATGGCTGAGTTACATGCATATATTTCATTCCTACGTTCCTATTGAATAGGATCGACACAATCATTGTTGATATCTTTGGGGGCAGCGTGTGCCGTAGGTAACTGTGTAAAGAGTTTATTGTTAATGTAGTAGTTCTCTAGTGTTTTAGATGAGTCGAGTGTGTACAAAGCACAACTCCAACACAGACTTGTTGGTTGGGCTGGTCATTTAAAAAGAGACCAAACAGTTTTTACCAATTACTGTGTGTTCTTTCTTCAATAGGAACACACACTTCAGCAGTATTAGGTGCATTCACACCGCAGTACTTTTCCCACAAAGGTTCATGAGAACTTAGTTCATCAGAACTCTTTAGTTCTGATGAACTAAGTACAGATCGCATTCACACCGGAATAAGTCCCTGGGGGTGGATTAGGCAAATGAAGCCGCTGACGTCACTTCTTCTTCTTCTGCTTTGGGTTTACTGGCAGGCCGCAAACAACTTCACGGCGTATACTGCCGCCCAAAATCCCCGGCCGGAAGTCCCCGGTTGTTGGGGACTGGCTTCAGTAGAATCTGCTGGGACTCCCAGCAGCTTCTACTGAAGCCTTCCGAGTAAATCGCCAGAACGCCGACACCTCCTCATCTCCACCGCTCCCATGTTTTATTTTGTGTTGCAATCCGCCCAGCCAATCAGAAATATAGCTCTTTTCTCACAAGAGAGCCGCATGAGAGTCCCTGCTCTCTAGCAGGGACGGAAAAGCGGCCAAAATCATATAGAAATAAAACAGACAATTAACTTAAAATAATACAGCCGCTGAGGCACTAGTTAGCAGATCTTACGCAGGGCAATGATCCAGGTCCAGACAAGATTCTCCGTTGTACATTTATTATGATCCAATATCATTGACAATGAACAGGTTTCCTTTGGTTTGTTCCTTAAGCCTTTCCTATGGCTTTCCTTTCCTGTGGTTGGAAAAACCCTGTGGCTCGAAACACCCTGTGGCTCTTTTGCCTACTAGTGCTCTGGCTTCCACTTCCACCTGTCTCCAATATATACAATTACACCAGGTGCTCTAATCACCCAGTGCCCAAAACATGCCTTCAAAATAAAAGCATAGAAACTACTTTAACTTATGAGACTAACTAAGAATACATTTACAATAAACACTATAAAACAGCAAGAAAATAAATGTTAAACTAGTAAATAATATAAAGAGATATATGGCTCCAACATTCCGGCCCCTAATTGTGGCCTGTGTAAACACACAATAACTTAAATATATATAAATGGAGCTATACTCTATCTTTATTTCTTACCCATACAAATAATCGTCTATAGTCTTCAGGCAACAGCTTCCTGGAAAGGAAAGAGAGAAAGAAAACTATAAAATAGTCTAGAGAAACAGAAAGAATAAATGTTCATGATGCTACGCTACTGCATCCAGGAGCAGGCGGATCTTCAAACAGGTCTCTCCATGACACTGGTCTTCATTTGGGGCTCGCAGAGCTGACCAATCATTGTCCGTCCTTTCCCTCATCCAGGGTCCACTTGTATTTGCAATAAAGAAAATATCTCCTGTTGGAAATTCTTTTCTGGGCCTTCTCCATTCGCTCCGTCATCCAAATCCTCTTCATAAGGAGGCTCCTCTGTGTCTCCATCACTGTTCACACCATCTATCTGGAGATCGGATTCCATTTCTTCATCCTGTGTTTCAGTCTGAGGTTTAGGACTTTGGTGAGGCTTTGATGTCTTGGAGCTGGTCTCCTCTTTGTGATCTATTTCTTGCTCCTCACTCTCTGTGTGCTTTTCACATTGCACTGTTGATGTTTTTTCTTGTAAATCCTGATGGGTCTGATGTTTGATGGACATCTTTTCTTGTTGTTCCAATGCAAGCTGAGAGGTAACAGGGCAGCCAGAGCTGAATCCATTGTGCTCTCCAGGTCCAACGGTCCCAGTATGAACACTTGTCTCTGACTGTCCAGATGAAACATGTGCTTTAATTAAGGATGTGCCTGTATCCTCATCTTCAATGTGAAGGGCTGAGAAAATAAATGTTAAACTAGTAAATAATATAAAGAGATATATAGCTCCAACAGTTCTCATTAACTAATTTTAGTTCCGGCTCTTTTTGGTGTGAACGCGACATTTCGGAACTATATCGGAACTAAAGTGGGAAAAGTACTCCGGTGCGAACGCGGCTATTATCATTATTTTTGTAATATTCAATCGATCAGAGTTAGTTTGCCCCCATGTAGGCTAATGGTTAATCACAAATTTATATACTAGTGTTTAACCTACGTGTACTTTTGGTTGGAGATAATACAATCCTGGGAAGTTATTAAGAAATGTAACAAACTGGTAGGAGAAATCAGAAAATTCTTGATCATTTTTGTGACATAATAGCAGTCAAGGTTTTTTATAGATGGAATATCTGTGTCAAACTATTTGTGTAGCGCAATAATTCGGAAAATACTGCCTACAGACATAACAAAATACAATGTCCTTGCCTGGGAAGTCACATGGGGAGAATCTATTACGATGTTATAATTTTGCACCAAGATTTTTTTGTTATTTAAGTAAATGATTTCATGGCATGTGGAGTTTTTCATAAAATCTTTCCACCAAAGCATCCTTCTGTACTTTTCCAATATTTGTTATCAAACATTTTATTCAATAGGATAGGATCTACCAGTTTTCCGCCTAATTTAGTTAAAATCGTACTTTTTGTATCATCGTCATAACTATGTTTGACTCTCCTACTCTGACCATTATAAACTTGCCCTGGTAATTCAATCTTGGCAAATGTGGATAACAGCCTCTCCTCTCCCTCTCTCGTGCAGATGATAAGTGTGTTGACCAACGATGGCCACAAACTATTTGATGCAGTGTTGTTCGGGAGCTTCGTGCTTGCCTCCCCGGTGCTCTTCATCATTTGTGTTGTGTATGCCTGCTACATTCTGGGCTACACCGCACTGACTGGAGTCGGCACCTACCTCATCTTCATCCCAATACAGGTGTGTGCTGCACAAGAACCTCAAACAAAAGACTCATTTTCATAAGAAGTGTTCATTTTGATTTTGATCAGTTAAGATTGTGACTTATGTGTGGCCAGAGGTCTGGCAAAAGGTTTTTCTATTAGCATATCATACAACGATACATATATTTTTTGTTTACTGTCATCCTCACCAATACTGTGTTAATGGTACAGTAGGTGCTATTTCAAGGAATTGCCTAAGTCAACAATAGGCATAACAATGTTTCAGAGTCTTTGGTAGCTAAGTTACCTATTTTTAATTAGCTACAAGTTGTAATTTCTTTAGAGCTCTCTCTACTCATACTTATGAGGTATTCTTTTTGACTTGTGCAAACCTAAATCAACAACTTTTTTTTTTTTGTTGGCTTATTTTTAATTGTCACTTAGAGTATATTAATATTGGCTTTTTTTCTGCTTCCAGGTTGGCTTAGCCAGGCTCATTAACAGATTCCGGTGGAAAAGCATACAGATAACAGACTGCCGTGTTCGCACCATGAATGAGATTCTCAACAGCATCAAACTTATCAAGATGTACGCCTGGGAGGATTCTTTTGAGGAGAAGATCGTGGGTATGCATGTTGAGTTTGCTCTACAGAAACAATTCTATTTAAAGGGGCCCTATTATGCTCATTTTCAGGTTTCATCATTATTTTGTCCATCTATGTGACATGTTTCCATGCTGGACAGTTTAAAAAGTGCTTTATATTTCGCACCTCTTTTCACCTCTTTTCACCATCTTTTCACCATCTTTTCACCATCTGTATGAAACTAGAGCCCAGTCTGCTCTGATTCTAGATGTCTCGCCTATGATGTACAATGTGTTTTGTAGCGCTAGCCAATAGAAGCGCTAGTCTCACATAGTAATGTCAGCATGTTGTGGAAGTGAACAAAAGGGCCCAATAGAGCCGTTTCAGGCAGGGGGGAGAGAAACTCCCTCTGGAGGGAACACAGGGATCTTAGCCTTTCAAGACAATGTACATGCACAGAAACCTATATAACACACTACAGGAAATGGAAGCCCCCCAATAGGGCCACCTTAAAGTGAAGCATTATGTTTTTTCTGGTTTCTTTTATCAATTTTAATGTAACTCACATAGCCATGCTGCCTAAGGCTCGAGATGAGGCTTCCGCTGTCAAATTCTCTCCAGCTTTTTTTACGCCACTAAGACCATGTAGAATGAACTGCCTCTCAAAATGCTTTTAGGAATGAGCTTCAACGTGCCCTTTGCTCCGGCAGTCCATGATCTATTTTGGTGTGCATTCTGCAGCAATGTGCTTCCTGGCATTAAGCAACATATCGAACCATGTGTTTACCTTTCAAGTACCGTTCCTGTGAAGTTGCTGCAGCTGCCAAAGACACAAATATATACATTCTTGATCCCCGCTTTTCCCAAAAATATTAAATCAAATATATATATTATCAATGTAGCATGAAATGCAGCTCAGATGAAAACAAACTGAAAAGACACTTAGCAGACCAGCATCCATATCGGCATTAATAACATATTTTGTTTCAGAATTAATTGTCAAAGCATATTCATGAACGCAGTTCTATAAATCTGATATTCTAATATGGACAGTTCTTGTGCTCACACTTAAATGCTTGTGTGAGATATACAATAGCATTCTGAATATCTTGTGTGAATACAGTCTATGTACCAATTCATCAAATATGTGATGTTGGCTCTTTTATAGAATTCAGGAAAAATGAGAAGAAACAACTGCAGAAGGCCAGTTACGTCCAGAATACCAACGTCAGCATCACCACCATCATCCCCACCCTCGCCACCGTTCTCACCTTCATTGTTCACACATCACTGAAATTAGAGCTCAACACGCCTGATGTGAGTATGCAGCAGTTTGTTAAACATTATGTAGCGAATAGAAGTACAGGATGTAAGTACCAACCTCCTTCCTATGCACATTTTGGTGTTCTTTTTTTACTCCTGTCATAATTTCTACAGCCAGTAGAGGCAAACCTGCTTTTGCAAAAGTGATGTTAGAGAGTTACATGGAGGGTCATAGTTTGACGCATAGGGCCACTGATCAAGCTGTTTTATACTGTGTGACCAGTTGAGACTGTTAACTGGTTGAAAACAAATATATATATATATATATACAAACATTTATCTTTCAGTTTGTTTGTGCTCGCACTGAGCATTTTGGTTCATTTAAAGATAATACAGATGTCCATGTGACAGTGTTGCATAATGTGGGGTAGTGTTTGAGAATCATTCTTTGTTATTTCCAGGCCTTTACCACCATCGCTGTTTTCAACGCCCTGAGGTTCTGCCTGGGTCTGCTGCCTCTGTCCATGAAGGCCGTGGCTGAGGCTGCTGTTTCAATAAAACGACTCCAGGTAAACTCTTCTCTTTGTATCCTGCTTCTGGCATTCTTATAAGTCTTCACAGCATTCATTACTACAATAATATTACTTAATAATGCCACAACGATGCATCGAGCACTAGAAACTGAAAGGTTGAAATATTTAAACCTTCTAATGAGAGATAATAAAATGTGTATGTGGCTTCCCCACAAGAGCTTATAAGCACATAAATAGCATGTGCAGGGTTTTATTTTGATCTTGAAATATATACTGTATTTTTTTTACGTTGTTCCATTTCTACTGTTGTAGTATAATTTGAGGCATTTCCTACTTAAACTTGAAAAGGCTTATACATGCGATGTGTGGCTGTTTCAGAAAATATTGCTGATCCAGAATCCAGAGCCCTACCTGAACCAGCAAAAAGACAGTGACTCGGCCATAGTGATTAAAAATGCTACACTTTCCTGGACCAGACCAGCCAGCCAGCCGAACCCCACTCCCAGCTCAGCCAATGGGGTGACCGGAAACAAAGTAGAGGAAGTGTCCAAGAATGGGGCGAGTGAAACCTTGCCGACCCTGAGAAACATCTCCCTCACTCTGCCTAAGGTGTGCTTTACCACTGGTAAGGATTATTTGGGTCACCTAATTTTGCTTAAAAGTAATACAATGTTCTCTGTTTTATCTCCTGAAGGGCAAGCTGCTTGGTGTGTGTGGTAACGTTGGGAGTGGAAAGACGTCACTGATTTCCAGCATTTTGGAACAGGTTGGATCCTTCTCTTGTCTTTTTATTATCTTTTTGGCTTGTTTGCCCATTCTCGGGAATGTCCTGTGTACATTTTGAGGGAATTTCCTACAAATGTGGTGAACTGATGAACTGATTGGAATTGGGTGATAAATAGTCAAAGGTCAGGGCCGTGGATATTATTATTACGCTTTTATCCAAAGTGACTTATATACTCAATACTGTGGGCAATCCCCACAGGAGCAATTTGGGGTGAAGCGTCTTGCCCAGGGACACAACGACATGCTGACTGCAGTGGGACTTGAACTTGCTATCCCCCTGATTCTAAGTTCAGCGCACTATTCCACTGAGCCACAGCCTCTCGCTGGGGGGGGGCCTGGGTTCGACTCTGACTGGGGATTGTTTGTGCCTAATTTGTCAAAGGTCGGAAACAATACAACCTTCGCACAGTGCATTTAATGGCCTTGCATCGCAATAAAAAAATGCGCATATCACTCAGTTGGTTACATTTATATGAATTCTCTAAATAAACATAGTAGGCCATTATAATTCAATGAGGCCTTTTCCCCTGACATTTCATGCAGTAAAAGCACAGAGAATTTCCTGACACTCTACAATATAGGGATAAAGCAACGTGAGAATTGTGCATGTCACTCATTTGGTTTAATTGATATGCATTTTTGAAATAAAATGAATAAATATTGTAGGCAATTATAGGCCTTTTCACATGACATTTCAGGACCTGCATGTGCATATGAGTTATTTGGTTGAATTCCCATGAATGTGATGATAGTCATGCAATGTAAAGCGTATGGCCACGGATTTTTCACATTAAGTCGGATACTGAATCCGTGACACTTTCCTGGGTCCCCAACTTGAAGCTCCTCTGATTGCGTTAAACACAATTGTTGCTATGGTGAGGCGACATCCATATTTGAAGCATTGTCTACGTGTCTACGGCTATAACTTTGTGCTCTGTGAAATTCAACTTGATTGGACACGCCGTCGAACAAATACAAGGAATTTACATATACACATGATACAGCCGACTAAAAGAACAATGCTTACAAAATCAGGTGAATCAATTTTATTTATTTATCAATATATCACTAATCAAACAATTGCCTGTTGGCTTCCCAATCTGTAACACAGTCCTTTACCCTTCAACCATAAAATCTCATTAAATTCCTTCAAGGTCTTTGCTATATCACATGAGTCTTTACATTGTTTTATTGCCAGCCAATTAAAGACAACGCTGCTTTTTTACATTGTGTTCCTCTTAAGTCTGATGTAACTGATGCCTTTTAACCTACAGCTTTTCATATGATTGTCTTCTCATTTCTGTATTTTAGATGCACCTTCTGCAGGGCTCCTTCACAGCGGATGGGACATTTGCCTACGTTTCCCAGCAGGCCTGGATATTCCATGGAACTGTCCAAGAGAACATCCTGATGGGGGAACCATTGGACCAGTCCAAGTACGTAACCAGTTGTTAATGATATGCTCCTGCAGACCATCGAACATCTAAACAACAGGAGGTATTTCTCACTAAGGGGTTACTATTTGTCATGTTTCTCTTTGGTGCAGTTTCACAATGGTTGTTCTTATCTCACGTGACACATTTTTAACTGGGAGAAAGTTCCTCTTATCTCTGTGGGATTGCTACTGACAAGGTAGTCAAACAAGAGCGAAGGTTATGGCTGTTATCTAACAGCAGTATAATTAGGAAGCCACCCCATGCTGTGGGTCAAAGATGACTTTAAGCGAGACTGTTGACCTGTGCCCAGTATTTTGACGAGTCATATCACTACTGCAGTTATAGGCCTATACATATTATGTAATCGGTTTTATGAATGAAGTTATCGCAGCAGGGAAAGTCGACTTGCATCAGACCATGACAGGGTTTTCCAAAACTACATTAAGAAATACAAAGAGTGTTTTTTGTTGACTCTCTTTCACATGTATTGTCTGGGGTTGGTGTGTACGGTTACACTTACCTTGGTCAGATTTCTACCATTAACTGCCAGAGACTGTATGTCCGAGCAAGTTTAAGTATAATGTGCTCATTATAGTAATCAAACTGATTTAGATAATACTTGACAAAGGTTCCTGAATTAAACATAAAAGTAAAAGCAATAGTGACCAATCGTTTGTATGAATTTGAAAAATCTATATTTTAGATAATTCGTCAAAAATGATACATCACATTGAAGTGGTTTTTACTATTAAGGAGATATCAAATCATGTCTACAAAATGGCTCTGTTAAACACACTGTACTATATGTTGCTGTTCCTTGACTTCAATGCGTTGTCTTGCTTCTCAGATACGACAGAGTTTTGGATGTGTGTAGCCTCAGAGCTGACCTCAATACCCTCCCATATGGTGATCAAACAGAGGTAGGAACTCTAAACTTGCCAAAGTAATGTTTTTTCGTAATGATTTCTGTCAAGGAGCCCTGACAGCAAAGGCTCTGTCTCCTCTACATCTGTACCTGGACCTTGTAAGGACCAGCAGCGATGTCTTTGAGGATCTCAGGGTGCAGGAGAGGGGCATAGGGCGTTGACAGGTCAGATAAATAACTTAGGGCAAGGCCTCTGAAGGCCTAATAAGTCATCAATAAAAACATTTAGTCAAGTTAAAGTTTGCAAGTTTAGAAGCGTTGCTCACTTTTATATGTCAAAAGTAACATGGATGAGGTTTAGTCAAAAGTCGTGAACATGAGCAAAAATAACACCTGACAAAAAAATGATCTACTGTTCAAATTGCAGTAAGTTTACAAAAAAAACTAAGTGTAGCAGAACATAAATGGTATTGGCTTACTGGTGGTCATTATTTACAAAGTGTTTTCTACCATTTTCGATTGTAAATTTGTGTGTCGTTTTATTGTCAGATTGGAGAACGAGGGCTGAATCTATCGGGGGGGCAGAAGCAGAGGATCAGCGTGGCCCGAGCTGTGTACTCTAACAAAGACATCTACTTTCTCGATGACCCACTGTCTGCCGTCGACGCCCATGTAGGGAAACACATGTTTGAAGAATGCATTAAGAAGGAGCTTCAAGGAAAATCCATCATACTGATTACACACCAGCTCCAGGTGGGATATTGATATAATGCTTTATTCTTATCAGTATTGAGTGAATTCCAAATACATAATTATTACAAATAACATAAAGAGGTTATGGAAGCCCTGAGAGGCCAAAGGGAAAAAAACATTCTGTTGATTCTTTTTATGAGCTAATAAAAGGTATAGATTGTTTTTATATATCTTGAAATGTGAATTTCGGCAGTACACATCTACCCCCTTATCTAAAAGGACTAGGCAATTTATTGTTTTGTTCAAGTTAAATCTATTCATGAATTCTCAACACACGTTACATTAAAATCTAGCCAAAATAAAGAAATCCCATTAGTGTTATATTACTCTGCTGACACATAATATGTTTTTAGGCTGCATGGAGAAGTTCAAATTAACTTGGAAGAAAATGTTGTTATTATTATTTATCCTTATTTAGAAAATGCCAGACTCTTCTGGCTGACATTAGTATAACAACAACAGACAAAAACTCATTTTCCACCAGTTTGCCAATTTCCCAATAATCGTTACAAGTTCCTTATTATTTAATAAGCAACTTGTAACGATTATTGTGAAATGTAAAACTAATTTAAGGGTTCTAAACCATACTGATCAACACTCCCAAAGTGAGTGTTGTCATAGTGCTGCCATTACTATTTCCTTTATCATGGATTCTTAGCAGTATTGTAAACAGCTTTAGATAAGAGTGTCTGCCAGTTCCCATAAATGTTATTGTAGCCCAGGTGGTGTTTGGTTGAGCTCTGGCCACAGTGCTGGGATGCTTTCCTTGACACGGTTTGCTCGTGTCTGTCAGTATCTCGAGTTCTGTGACAACATTTTGGTTCTGGAGGATGGCGAGGTGCTGGAGGTTGGGAACCACCAGGCTCTGATGAAAGAAAATGGACGCTACGCTCAGCTCATCACCAACTACCAGATGGGAGAGTCTGAGGTAAAAAGCAGCAGAAATATTACGTGTCTTTCCATTATGTTTTACCACTGTGAAACCTTTCCCCCAGTTATAGTTTAATTAGCTCCAAAACAATAAACTGCAACACTTGAGCTGTAAACCAAATAATGAGAGATCTCAGAAGTGTATAGGTTGCAGGAACATGTCTTTTACAAGGGACAAGTTAACATCTATTCAAGGTGGGAAGTGACTTGTTTTTCGACTCAGCACTAACACTTTGTTCTTGTTTATCATTTACAGTCTGAGAATGAGGAGGAGGAAGTGACAAACGAATATGATACCACGCTGAAGGACGTTGAGCTGAGAGCCAGAGCAGACAGCGGCTTGGTGAACCCAGGTATGGACACCAGGAACACATTGAACATAGTGATATAAAATACATTGTGCTAACTTGTGATGCCTTCATTTATCACTATAGAACTTAAAATGGATGGAAATAAAGCTGGAGTTCATTACGGAGTTTAGAAAAAGACACAACGGATGTATGGTACATAGTAACTCAATGCCTAAAAATAGTTCACTCAGGAGAGACGTGATGTATGGAATACATGTTTATTATCGGGTCACATTATATAATGAACATAATGATGACAGTTTGTAGCAAGTGAATGAAATAGTGTTTTGGCGATTAGGCCCAGGTTTGGTAGGATGTCATTCGGGAAGGAAAGAACCGTTTCCGATGAACCCCCCTGGGTCTAGACACTGGTGGTGGTGATAAGTGGTTAGGTCCGGTTGGAAGGGAGAAGGTTAAGCTTGGTCCTGAGTTGGAAGCAGGAGGCGAAGGGGTGGAGGAGGGTTGCGCGTTGACACCTGGAAGACAGCTGATAGAAAAGGGGAGAGCATATATAGAGGGATTACCAGGTGCGATGATTAGGCTTGTGAATAGAGGGACGTGATAGGTTTGCTGAGGAGTGGCGCTCCCTATCCTTAAGTGAAGGGAGCGAGTATTGCCATGACGTGCAATACGAAGTGATAGGTCTTCCTGTCTGAACTTGCGCTGAGCTTCATTTAAACTTCCAAGTTATGCGAACATGTAAGCAAAGCATAAATTACAACTACGTTGACGTTACTTTGA